GTCCCCGCCTCTGCGCTCGGCGGGGCCGCCCCCGCTTCCCCCTGGTCGGGGCGGGGAAGTCGGTTAGTGCGCCCACTCCCCCAGCTCGCCCGGGCCCCTCCTTCCATCACGCTAGCCTCGGGACCCGGGCCGGCGCCGTTACCACCCCCTTTGGGCTCGTCATTTCCTCCCCTCCCCGCCCCGCTCGCCAGGGCAGAACCGTACACCTCAGTCTTGGAGCCCAACCAAGCGGTCTCCCCTTTCTTGTCCCGGCGCTCAGGCCGGCCCACGCGGTGCCTGGAACCTCACAGGAGATTGCTAGTAGCCCTTCGCATTCCTTTTCCCGGAGGCTGCGCGACTTGCTTTTGATACTGTTCTAGCCATTGCTCATTTAATGAACTCTCCCTTCCTTGACAGTGTACAATTCGTTTTCCTTTAACCTTTCTTTGTCACTTTGAACGTGTCAAGCTTGACTTTCTAGCTCAGTCCACAGCTCTCTCTTGGAAAGTGTAGTAGAAAAAAATAAACCAATTCCATATTGACGTTTTTTCAGCAGATATTGTGAGATTTTAGGTCGGGTGAGAAGAAATCTGTTGACAACCAAGTATGAAGCAATTAGTAATATGTACCAGGCATCAACCTATTTGATAGGGAAGGAGTGGGTAGATGTAAATAAGAATCTTCCCTGCCTGGTGGAGATTGACAGATGAACAACTAATGAATACCTAACGGTTAGTCCTATAACGGGGCCAGGTTCAGTTGTGTGAAGTACTGTACTGATGTGTGAGCTACAACACTCTCCTGGAAGGCTTATCCTAGCCACACTTTGGTTGGCCTCAAGGATGATTGGATTTCTCCTGACAGTAAGGAAGAGGATTGCTAACAGAAAGAAGGGCATGGGTACAGGCACCAAATTGTGCTGTGTGAAAGAGGGAAGGTAGGACAGGGCAGTGGGCAGTGGTAAGAGTTTAGGCTGGACAGCCCAACTGATGAAAGCACTTGTATATCTCCATAAAGAATATTTTCTAAGATTGGAAAAACAAGTTTTTGACTTGTTAGGTTCTGTCCCATAACAGTGGCTTTTTTAAAAAAAAAACAAAAAAAAAAACTTTTTTTTTTAATTTAAAATACATCTTTATTGATTTCAGAGAGAGGAAAGGAGAGGGGGAGAAAGAGAGAGAAACATCAGTGATGAGAGAGTCATTGATAGGCTGCCTCCTGCACACCCCCTACTGGGGATTGATCGTGCAACCCGGGCATGTGCCCTGACCGGGAGTCGAACACCAATCGCCTGGATCCTAGGTGGAGGCTCAACCGCTGAGCCACTCCCAGCCAGGCAACAGTGGCTTCTTTAGGGGAAGAAAGGGAGATTTACCTTGGACTTTAAAAGTTTTTACTTATGCAAAGCACCTAGCGCAATCCCTAGCACAGAGAGTAGGCATTCAGTATATGGTATCTGTTTTCGTTGTGTTTTTTTAAAATCACATTTACTAAGGTGATACAACTGGTAGGTTTCAGAAAACTCCTAATCCAGTGTTCTTTCATTTTTATTATCCACATTGATAGATGGGGCAGTGTGTCATACCTGGTCACTTTAAAACTACCAACCTAGACTTTCTGAAAGACAATTAGTTATAGTCTGGTTACTTTTTTACTAAACACCTAGAGCTCCCACCTGTCTGCAGAAGAATTTTGCTTAGAATTTTGAGAGACAGTAGTCTGGCCTCTTATCTTTCACTTGATTTATGGGGCCTTTTACATAAAAGCTGTTCATATGCTGAAATTTTTGTGTCCTTGTTATTATGCTGGCTCTTCGTTTGAAGCCCTCCACCCCCTCCCACATCATCACATGTAAGTCTGTCTTGCACTTAACACCAGGTCAGATGCCCCTTTTTCCTAAAGTCTTCTTTGATTTATCTATCCCCAGTGGAAGAAATCTCTTTTCTCCAGATTGCCGTATTAATTTGTTTCACTTTGGTTCCAGTACAGATTTTTACTCCTTTGCTAAATTTAAAGACTTTGAAGTTAGGATCTGTGTCAGTTTTCTTTTTCTAAAACACTGTCTGGGACATGATATACGTTGTTAGTGGAGAAAACAAGCAAATTAGAAACTCTAATCCAGAAACCTCTTGGACAGTGAAGAAGCTGGACAGCTCTTAGTTCTAATCTTTTATCAAAGATCAGGACCCACTTGTTGAGTTGTAAAATCAATTTAGAGGGCTAATGCTGGTGATTTTTTGTAATAAATAGAAAATACCAAAGTATCTTATAAAAGATAAGTATTCATGCAACTTTTGTTTCAGTTACTTTTTTAATGTTATGTGTGTAGTGATTTATGATAAGAAATGTGTTTCTTACTGTGAATTGTGGTCAAAGAAGTTTGAAAGCTTCTATTCTAGACTCTACCTGGTAGTGATTGTCAAATATGAGGGCTTTTCACATGCTTACAGTTGACTTTCTGGAAGTTTAAGCTTTAAAATGTGTGTGGATCCACATAGAATGGATTCCCAATAATTAGCTGCACTTCAGTTCCTGTGCCTTGAAGTGGAAAGAAGGGAATTTTCATACTAGCCAGAATAAACACTCTCTTTGTGGCAGAAAACATTCAAAACTTTGAGTTACAAACAAGAGCTAGACAGAGTAAATCTGGCTGACTTAATTTTGTCAGAATCTTGGGCAGAGTAGCACTTAAGGAAAGACAACGTCAGATTTTATTGCAGTTCCATTATTGGCGAGATGATGCAACCTCAGTTCTTGTCTTTGTGAAGGAAAGAGTTCAATCAAGAGATAAAGCACAACGAAGCAAGCAAGTATTGACCACAGCAAAAACACTTAGGATAGCGCATCAAGGAAAGTCATGGAAGAAGCAGCAGGAGAGCCTAGGCTTTGCTGCTTTGGCTCACTGAGAAGTCAGAGAAAAGGGAGCCTTGGAGACAGATTTAGGAGGTTAGCCCGGGATGAGCTGCTGCTGCCCCTTGCTCCCCTGGTTGCAAGTCTCATGGGGTCCCTTAGAGGGAAGAAGGACGGAAGGGAATGGAGCTGGTATACTTTGGATCCTTTGTGTTGAGGGTATTTATCTCCCTTGAAGGTGGAAATCTTAGGGGAGGCCTCACAGGAGGGTCTCAATAGAATATTCATCAGTTTTCCAGGTGTGCTGTTTTAGGGTTGTGGTCTCCACTGATTGGTCAGTACCAGGGCAAGGGGTCATTGGTCAATGCAGCTGGGCCTGAGGCAGCCAAGGCAGCCATGACATCACTTGTCTAGTTTTGCTGCTTTTCTGGGCCTGGAGCTGAAATACAACTGAGGCCTAGATGTTATCTTTAGGGAGGAAAAGGTCAGGGGGTCCAAACCACATGACCAGCAATATGCTAGGGAAGGAAAGTTTACCCTGGGGGTGAGGTTCTTCTTTTCCCAGTTTTGCCCCTTGGTAGTCATCTGGGGCTTTCTGCCCTGGTGAGTTCCTGTACTTGGCCCATTGTCCTTGCTCTGTTCATGTCTGTCTAACTGCCTGTAGCAGTTCTGCTAACTGAAGCTCACAGTAATAAGTGCATGTGGCTTCACTGAAGCCAGTTGTGTTACTGCATTCACCTTTAGCAATATCAGTATCATGCTCCAGACTGAGTCAGTTTAACATTATTATGAGAGAGGATTGCTATTAGATTTGAAGCTGCTTTCTTTCTTTACCCTTCAGAGTATAGTGGATTTAAATGTGTTTAATTTGTAGCACTTGTGTTCTGGGATAAATTAGTTAAGAAAATCTGCATGACCTGTTTATTAGTAATTAATATGCTATTTGAGTAAGATGGAAATTAGTGGTCAAGAAAAGAATCTCATATAATAAGGGGTTTGGGGGTTGGGGTGGTGTTAAAATATAGAGGACATTCCTTCATGATACTGTGGGCAAAAAGGAGCCACGTGCTAACCTGACAAGGCCTGCATAGCGGCCTTGCAAACTCAAAGACCTAAAGTCCACAAAGGATAGACTAAAAACTTTTTAACTAAAAGCAGTTACAGTGGGTAGTCATGTCCTAGGCCAGTATCTTTCCTGACAAAAGTCAATCTTTACTTTAACTGAGCCAGTCTGTTGTCTTTTTGCATCTACAATAATGTATCTTTGGAAAGTCCAAGTAATTTTCCTTTTTCCAGACCCTTCAAAGCACAGGCACCGCTCTGCAGAGACTACAAATCCCCTCATTGTCATCAAGTTAATTGTTGACTATTAACTATCCTGCACCCACCTAAGTAAAAGAAGTGTATGTCTGTTATTTTACCTTTTATCCAATCCCAGAGGTTTCCCCACTTTGCTTCTTTCCGCCTCCCTAATCTATCACCAATGGATTTTATATAATCCACATATGTCTCCTCTTTTGATTGTAATGTATAAAATAAGATGCAAAACTGCCATTCTCCAGAGCATTATCTAAATCCATTGAGATTTTGCTTCCCTGCAATTGTCTGACAGTTTGGCTCAAATAAACTCAAAAATTATTCACAGGTTTGAATGTTTCTTATGTTGACAATACTTATTTTTTAAATTAACTTTATTAACTTTATTGAGATATAGTTTAGATACAAAGGGTAATTATTTTAAGTTTCCATTCGATGAGTTTTGACAAATTTGTACAGCTGTGGAACCACTACCATAATGAAGATATGAAACATTTTCATCACACCCTGGCCAGTGTGCCTCAATGGTTAGAGCATCGATCCTTGGACTGAAGGCTCTCAGGTTCAAATCCTGGTCAATGGTACATACCTGGGTTGCAGATTCAGCCCCCCACCCCACCCCCACCCCACAAGGTGTGTGCAGGAGGCAACCAATCGATGCGTCTCACATCAATGCCTGTCCCTCTGCGCCTCCCCCTCCCTCTCCACTCTAAAAATCAGTGGAAAAACT